TCACATATGAAGAGTTGTGTTAGGTCATGGAACCAACACAACTCTTAACGTTTAATGGAACAGTCCCAACCCTTGTCTTGGGAGTCCATCATCCTATATCGCAAAAAAAAAAGATTAGAGGTTGAAGGTCGTATCCTATATGATATAAATAATGTTTCCGTTGTAATTTTTTTTAAATTGAGTTTCTATACTCATGTTTATCTTTTATTAGATTTATACATTGAAATCATGAGTTTTATATATTAATTAAAATTTCTTACATGACTCACAAATAAGTATATGTATCAAATTTAGGTCAATCTTTTCGAAATCATATAATAATTTCTCATCCCATATGTCATTTGTATCTTTAATTCAGATGGTGTGTTCTCTTTATTTTTTTATTTTTCAATAAAAGGGTTAGAAAATGAGTTAAATGCATTATGGTCCCATGCATTGTTGAGGAATCACAATGCATCCCACGTAGGGTCCAAGTAGCACGATTCTTTAATTTATTGTTGTTGATGAGCGATGCTATGTTCATTTTCTTTAACGCCTCCAATGACATTGAGTGGCTTGGCTGGAAATTTCACGACAGCCTCCCTCCGTCAGGAATAAATTTTTATTACTTGTTTATGATACTTAAAATGGTTTGTTTGGATTGAGCGAGGATTATTATTTTCCTTTAGTTCTTCTTTAGTCCACACATTCAATCTTATAACTCAGATCAAATACCAATATGACATACACTTGTGTTTAGCGACACCGAATCGATGTCATAGATTTGAAATTTATGAATTTTGAACTAAATTTGAAATTGTTCCTATACATTACATTATTAATTTTTTAAAAAAATAGGCGAATGCAAATTTGGATTGGGAAAGGGTTACATGTAAATCATGAATTTTTTAGAATTGTATTAAAGATCTCATCGAAAACTTAGAGCAGCTTGCCAAACAAAGGCCAAGAGAAAAAAGAGTACATGTATGAATGGCATAACATTCATGATTGGATTCAAAAAAATATAGGTCTCAGGCAATTTGATGATGAAAAAACTACTCGAATAAAGAGTAAAATTAAAACAGATACAGATTAAACTAAAGATATTAAGTGATAGGGAAAAATATAAACCTACCCTACCCTCGATAAGATTGATTAGATTTCATTATCAAGGATAATGAAATCAAATCTAACGTGGTTCAACAAGTAAGAATAATCCTTTAATAACTGGAGGAGGTCAAAAAGATTAAATCATATCCCGACAAATCTGGTAATAAATCTCGAACAAGCAAAAGATAAGGTCAACCATCGACATCAGCGGAACAATTTTAATTCCAATCGACAGCCATAAATAGGGCATCAAACCATTAAAAAATGTACGACATAAAAAGTATTATTAATTCATATCTTCTTTTTAGACATCCGTGACTAATTTGATCGTCTTCTCCTCTCTTCCTTGCACAAAAACGGTATCGTATCGGATTGCGCGAATTTCAGCCTCAACATTAAGTATAATAGATATTTTGTTTTTGGATAAAATTGCATTTTGTTTGAGTTATTGATATAAAGAAAAATAAAGTAAAATAAGGAGACCAAATAATAGCTAAAAATGATTTAAAATCAGAACTATATGTGATTAAAGGTTGAATGTCATAGCTCACACCACACTAGATTGTGTGATTCAAACTACTTGAAGGTAAAAGGTTGGCCTAGAATATTAAATTGATAAGAAATTAAACGGCTCATAGGGCGTTGGAAGCCCACCACAGCTGTTGTAGTGGGTCCCATATAACCCCAGACTGACCGGGGGTTAGGTCTTCTGTCATTTCTCCGTGATGTGTGTGCTTACTTGTATGTAGGTGGGAGATCAAGATGTTACTTCCACTTCACACTCCAACACCGCACCACCAACTGTAACTGCTACTACAATTACGACTACAGTGGACAAACTTGGGAATATACATTATGCTATTGGATTGGATAGGTCCGCATTAAAGTTTCTTTCTAGGCCCAGTTTTAGGCCTATACATTGAAAATCCAAGCCCAACCCAATTTAGCTGAAAAGTGACGCTGCTGTAGTGTTTAATTTCAGAAATTGGTGTGATATTTTCAAAAGGGAGTTGCTATTCAGGCGCTCCACTTCTATATACGTATTTATAAATAAAATGACAAAAACTAACATTAAAATTATTAAAAAATGCGTTTTCTCTTTCCTCCATTCTCTCCTTGTGGAATATATATGGTCTCAAATACTGAAAGGCAGAGATTAATTCTATATTTAAAAAAAAAAAATCAACATTAAGCTTTTGTTCACATGAAAAGCTCATAGGGATTAAATGAGTATATAATTATGGTCACAAATTGTTTTCTACAACTCAAACTCAACGCTTGTTCTTCTAGTTAAAAATTTAATTCTAACATTTTTACAAGTATTTGCCTAGATCAAGTTTCATATGTTTTAATTCTTATGTATTTTATATACTATTGTAGATAATGAATTAAAATTTATAGCATTGCTCACAATTTCACCGTGACTGATGAAACGGAAGTTCACAAAAATATGAGCAATTCGGAATTTTTTTAACCAATTTTAATGTTAATGCTAATATAAATGGTCTTTGATGATTCCGTCGGAGTAAAAAATATAAGGATGAGAGAGCTCCCAAATGAGAGAGATAAAAGAAGATGAATAAGTTATTTGAATAGTAATGGGTTATTTTTCTCATTTTTATTTACAAATAAATAGGAGTGGAGCGTCTAAAACTGTGAATATGATTTTGGAATACCAATATCAACTCCTTTTTCAAAATTATGTGCACACTCAGATTCCGTTTGTTTTAGCGTAAAATATTTTATGCGTTTTTTGGTGTTTGGTTTTCGTAAAATATTTACGAAGAAAAAAAATTATTAAAACCTAACAAAAATAACTTACTATCAATTTTTGACAAGCTATTTTACATGCCCAATCCGATGGACTGGACTTCAACCTCCCTAGACTTTTGGCAAACACCAAAAAATATATATATTTTACTTAGAAAAAATAAATATTTTCCCAAGAAAATGTCTATTCATGTTTTCCCATAAAAATCTAAGTTTAATCCATTAAATAAATTTTAAGCAATAATTTTGAAGCATTGAAGCTTTATTCATTTCATTTACTATTATGTTATTTTGGGAGTTCTCGGTTATATGAATTTAGAATTAGAAAAAATTTAATTACAAATTTGTACCAAATTTTATTCAATTCTAAATTCAAAGCACTGGAGTACTCTCAAACATAACATCAATTCAAATGGGACTGAGGGCCTTATGGTCCGGTGGTATTTCTTCTATCTCCCAAAATGGTTGGTGATGCTTCAAGTCTCTAAATGAGCAAATAAAATGTGTAAGTAATGTATGAAAAAAAAAAAAAATCTATTAAAATGAATTATATTTTATGTAGTAGTAATCTCTTGCTCTCCGTGGAGTAAGAAAATTCTTCCGCACTTTCTATAACAACCATTAGATTAAATCTAACGGTCACAGATATGCTTTCCTTTTGACACAAAACCACTATCACTATTTTTAGTTTCTAAATTTAATATTTACCAGTACTACTAATTACAACCATAAAAAGTAAATACCAAAAAGATAAAAATAGAAATCTCGAAATCACGTCTCCAAGAATTTTGTTTTCTTTTCAAAAAAATAATAATTAGTGTTAGAAAATTGCATCCACGACTTGATACTAAAGTTGACATCTCCTATTTGTTTGAGTGTGAAAAATAAAGTAAAAATTATACTATTGACATACGAAATATTAACTAAAAAATTAAAAATAAAATCTCTAATTTTTTTATCCACTTGATAAGCTCATAGTAACATGTGATTTGCACAACACTTCATCCATAAATAAATTAATATATTACCATTTAAATTGTTGTATATCTTTTTAAATGCATGCTATTTTAGAATTGAAAATTTTAATTTTTTTTTTGTGACCCCTTTGTCACAAATTGTCTTATCTTCCATATTAATTTTGTTTTATTATTATTTTTTATTTTTTAGATTCTAACTAGTTGTAAACACATTCAAGTATATTAATGTCATAATAAGTCGCACAATATTTTGTTACTAGTTTTACTACAATAAATTGACGTAATGAGGAGATTCACTACAAAACATGCTATTATTTTATAAAATTTCATATTTCCTTTGTAAATTAGTTGTTTTTCTTAGACTCATTTAAAATTCAATGATTATTTATTGTCTCTCTCTGGAGGAGAGGTTAAATGAGGACATCTTCACGTCTTGGACTTCTACAATTTCTTTTTCTTTTTCTCACTCAAAAGAATAAGCAATGTCAACTTTAGTATTAAGTGATCAATGCAATTTTCTAACACTTTTCTATTTTTTTTTTTGGTACTTAGATTGTTTTAATTAGTGGTATTAGAAAATATTATATTTGGAAACTAGAAATAGTGATAGTGGTTTTGTATTAAAAGGAAAGTATATAAGTGGGTTTGAAATGTAGTCATTAAATTTAATCTAATACTTGTTCTAGAAAGTACGAAAAAATTTTCTTGTTCCAAAGAAAGCAAGAGATCGTTACTCTATATTTATGTACCTATAAAAACTGAGTAAATTGATTTCTAATTACTCAGATCTAAACATCTATATCACTTACCAAGATTTAGTCTCAGTAAAATAAACAATATTCATATACGATTTTTCGTTAGAAGAGGAAAATATGATTTCTATTTACTTAAATTTGTATATTGTATATAATTTTTAATCCTGATGAGAAACTCTTGAGTAAATAGAAATCATATTTTCCATATCTATCAAATTTTCTTATCCAATATTTGTAGCAATCTCTTTAGTAAATAATTGTGTTTTTCTTATCCAAATTTTTTATAATAATTGTATTTTTATTATAAAGAATTGTTGTATTTTATTAGATTCATAAATCATAATTGTTGATGTTTTTAGCGCATGATGCTAACCTGACAAAAAACTCCTGAATTAAAAACAAAACCGATCAACACAATCAATTTACATCAAAGTCCCTCTCTCTCACTCTCTCATCTATATCTTTCTCTCACTAGCAAACTTTCTGCTCATTATTGTTTTTTGTTTGGTATCCATGACTCTCATTTCCCACTATTTCATCACCTCATCGATTCTATGAGATCGTTAAATTAGTTCTATAACCGAATGGATTTTCCTTATATTGATATCTTTAATTAGATTTCATCGTCTGTAATCATCTTCAATTCGTCATCGTTATTCTTCTCCTTCATGTGCATATATCAGTTTGATCTGTTCTTTCATCTTTAGTGTTCCTTGAATCTTTGTGATAATATATATATATATATATATATATATGTGTGTGTGTGTGTGTGTATATTAGGTTTTGATTATATGTGATGATACATCTAGGGGAGGGCTGCTCATCATCAGGGATAGCACTCTATGGAGGAATTTTTAAATTCATGCCTCGATTTCTTTCAGGTACATCTATTTAGTACATGATCCGTTTTGTGTATGTATAGCTTTGGATGAATCTGAAACTGCAGTACATTTCTATGAAAGATTGACGAAATTTGTTCTTGTAATTGGTTATAGTGCTAGTATAGGAATTGTACATTGAAGTGTCTTATATAATGGATGTTATGAAAATTGTTTGAAGGGTTGTTTTTTTTAGAGAAGAATGGATTTGCAGAGTAATCATCACACTGAATCTGGACGGTTTGAACAAATAGTTTCGCAATTTCTTCTGAAAAGCTTGCATATCATTTTGGACTCTAGGGTTCCTTCTATTAGGCGTGATCAAAGTAGTGATCTGTCATTGGGTACTCAAGTGAAAAAGAGTGACAAATGGTTCAGTTTAGTACTAGGAGACCGTCCTGCTGCTTTAGATAATTTTAATTTCTGGCGTAGAAATTTAACAGAACCAATGATAATTGACATAATTCTTGTTCGAGAAGGATCGAATTCTTTATCTGAGTGCAATCCGTGTAGTAGTCTTGGATTGGGGAAGGGTGTTGAGACGGTTATAGAGAGGTGGGTTGTTCAATATGAGCATCTTAGAACAATGTATCCTCAAATGGGCGAACCTTCTGCTTCTTACAAGAAAACATACAAGAAATCAATCATACTTTTACGTGCCCTTTATTCAATGATGAGGCTTCTTCCAGCATATCGGCCCTTTCAGAAGCTTTGCTCATCAAGTCAGGCTTTTGATTTTGATATAAATTACAAGGTCTCTTCATTTTGTGCTCCATTCTCGAGGGCAGCGGAGGAAGTGATGAAGCAATACAGTTTATCCCCTGTAGATGCTCCACAAGGTCGTCTTTCTATATCTGTGATGTATCGTGCAAGTCTGTCCGATTTCAACCTTGAGACTTCTTCATCGTTCCCACCACAGATCATTATGGATTATGTTGGTAGCCCTGCTACTGACCCTCTGAGGGCTTTCCCACTGTCTGGAAAAGTTATCCAAGGAACATCCATTCCATCAAGAGGGATACGGTCACCTTCTTCAGCACCATTTCAGCGTCCACATAGCTGGACGAGCGGCTTCCAATTGGAAGCTCCTTTAATGAAGAATCAGCCCCTTGGTGGATCTCCACCTGTGCATCGCATGTCTACTATGGCATATGATTTTCCATCTTCACCTACAGATATATATGGTCATAGGATTCAAAATTACAGATTGCCAACTCACCATAAGGCAACTAGTTCCATTGACCACCAGCTTTCTCCTCCATTCTCTCCATCTCCTTCCCCATCTCCCCCAACATACCTTTCCGGTAATAATCCTATGCAATCTCGGCTGCGTTCAGAGACTGCCCCCGTTAGTATCCCACATCCAATGATGGGCAGAAGTCCTAGATACCTTTCTCCAAATTTGTCTGATCCAAATAGGCATTCGCTTCCACCCCTATCTCCCAGAAGCACAAAGCATGATCCTTCATCACAGGATTCCCCATCTGGAAGCAGGTTGTTGAGGAAATCGGAGTCCCAAAGATCTGGGGAGCTGAATTCTGGAATGGCAAATCATTATTCTGGCCAGAAGGTAGTCCTCGTTTTCTGATTAAGCTAACTGTTTGTCCCAACACTGACTTTTGTGTTTAAAATCCGTATCTTTTGTGCTACTGCTGAGGTCCATTTATATTTGTTTGTAGATGTTAAAAGATAGCAAAGATGATTCGGGGCGATTCTCAGCTTTGCTATCTTCAAGTGGATCACCACGTATTGGATTCTCAAGCTCTATTAGATTACCTTTTCAGGATGATTTGGATGACGGTGACTTCTCGTGTCCTTTTATTGTTGATGATGTTGATACATCAGATTCCCCTGTCAGGTACTTACCTTTATCTCTGTCGTGCTGTCCTAATTCAGGTATGACTTTTGTTATTTCCTAATTAAAGCCAAACTATCTCCATTTTCACATCAGCAATTTTCAAATTCGGGTGCATAGCCTTTACCTGTCCCAGTAAAGGTGAACGTTCCCCTAATGATGACGACTACACTAACTCTATCTAACCATGTAGTTTTTTGCTTAATGGTTGTACACTTGTAACTTCATTGACATGAAAGATTTGTTCTAGAGTAGAACTTTAATTTGCCTTTTGACTTGGCTCAAGAGGTTTAAATTGCTGGCTCTCTAGTCAGCGATTTCATGCTAGATTATATAGTCTCAAATTCACAGCGATTTCATGCTGGATTATGTAAACAAAATATTATGCATTTGCGTTGAGGGAAACCATTCACTATGTGTGATTCAATTTTGGAAAGCTGCATCTTTATGGCTATGTTTGAGTTGAAGATCTGCATAGAACTGTTTGACCTGTAAAGCTGTCTTAAGCATGCTTCACATGTTTATTTTATTTTTTATTTGTCTTGGCAAGTAAGTCATATACTCACTTTGCCTCTACGGGGACTTGAACCCTCAATCTTTCACTTTGAGGGACAAAGGAGATACTACTGGGCTACAACCTTTGGTCTTCACACTTTGTTTACGGTTTCATCTGAATTACATCAAGGTTTTCACAAAGAGAATATAAAATAAATTCAAGAGTATTTAGGCTTTGCACCTATATTACATGGGTTTCCTGTTTCAGCCATGGTACCTGTGTCGTGTCGACACTACATGGCAAGGAATGATATATTTGTCCAATACGCGGTCCCAAACCAGACACGCTAATAATATCATAATTACAGTATGCTATAACATATAATGTATTTAATGTTTCAGGACATATCTATAAACTTATACCAGCCTTTAGGAACATTGCAAGACAAGTTCTTGTATCCTAAGTTTTTGGGTTAAGGCAGGTTTGACACCTAGACATACATGCACCTAATATATGTAACTAAGTTCATATTAAAATAGCTTTCCACAAAAGGCGTATATATTAAATAACATGAGAAAGTACAATAATTGTTTTCTGGGAGGAAAATAAATGTATAGTGAAGATGTAGGAAAAAGTAATTTGGAAGGGGAAGAAATCAAGTGCAACATTAACTTCACACTGAATTTTTTTGATTAAATTTGGCATATTTCTGTCAACATCCCCCCTCCCCTCCTCCCTCCCCCAACCGAAATCATTGCTTGGCCCAATCACTCTATCTTGCTCTCATAATGTGCACAGTTATATTACTTGTTTGACATGTCCTACATGTAGAACCAACAATTAGCAACATACATATCTAAGCTCCAGTAACGGTGAGGACATATATGCAAGTTAAATTGAAACTTAAAAATGAGAGTGGTAGTGGTATTGGACTATGACTTCCTTGTTTTATTGTTAGCCTGTATTAATCTTCTCAACAATTGCACAGGACTACATATAAGATCTTGTTGGCTGTGATCCTGATATCAATATGGCCTGTTGTTTAATTGCATGTTGTCAAATATATTTACAAGTGTAGTTGTTGATTTTGTTTGTTAACCATGCAACTGTGTATTGTTTTATAGTGCTTTGTAAACTAACTATATTTTGGATCTGTCAAATATTTCTGAGAGTGACAATGCGGATTCCCAAAATTAAAAAGCTGGTATTTAGACAAATCTGACCGCTGAACATATTTGTGCATATGAACCTGTATAAAGGAGGAAAACCATTATTACCAAGTTTGTGATATCTTTGTTACCCATCATGCATCGTTTTGTTTCCTAGGAATTAAGTTTAGCTTTCCTAGTAATGCTTATTTGCATAAAGGATTTCAAATAGAATTGTGGCACTTCAGGGTATAATTATCGTCTCAATTTGTCACTTTGTAGTTAGTTTCCTTGTCTCATGGCTACTGCCAGGGTCGCAAAAAATATGACACGATTCTTGGATTAATCATCAATTCACTTTCCAGGTGCAGGCAACAAGAGGTAGAGTATAAAACTTGCTGATGACACAGCTTAAAGTTTTTTGCTTAACAAATCACGTTGTTTTGTGCCTTAAACTTTAATGATGACCAGATCATAGTTTCTAGATATTATTTTTCTTTCTTCTCTCTACCAGTCTTAAAACCTTGACCTGGGGCTTGGGAGTTGGGACCCAAAGCCACCAGGACAAAGTTAGACCGGTGTTTCTTGATATTATCGTTTTCCTTTTAATGTAAAATTTAGGATAATGAAGCTTTTGACTGGTGGTAATATGAGGTCAAAGCTCATTTGAACTTGAGGACGCCTTTGACTAGATTGGGTTGAAATAGGAAGTTTCTCTTTCCTTAATTCAACTATTTTAACCCTATCTGCTCTAGCCATGCTCAGGCTTACGTCTTGTGCCTGTCTGAGTTTGTCCTCCTTTTCTCTTTAAAATATCAAGTATTATCTTTTATGCTTTTGTAATTTTCGACGGCTTAGTGCAATTTTTCTTTTCTGTGGTACAGTCAGAATCTTGATGGGCAAATAGCTTCAGAGTTTACTTCACAGCCATTCTCAACGACTCGAAAATCACAAGATGCAGCTGTTGGTGCTCTAGTACACATGCTAAGGACTGCACCTCCTCTACGTCAAGATTCAAGTTGTTACTCATCTCATTCCTCCAAGATTGAACTTGAGGGAGAAGTTGGTGCAGAGTCTGGATTCTTTGTGCCTCGAAAGACATCTGATGCACTTGAGGAGCTCAGGGGTTACAGAGAGATGAAAGACCTGCTACACTCCAAGAATAGAATTCAGGCAGTTAGCAAGGAGGCTGCTTAAGTCTGCTGCTTTTGTGGGGGGTAATCTTACTACGAGAACAATGAACTACTTGGGGAAGAAGCGTAAGATGGGTTTCTTGCTGATTGGTTCTAGATACAAAAACTGTGCCAGAACATGAACATTTGGTTTAGTGTGTTTAGAGCAGCATTTTTTTGAACAAAGGACTAACAGGACGTTTACGCTTGATTACTTAATTAGTTAGCAGAATTATACCAATTACCTGATTTTCACGACCGTTATGTTTAGAAAGTTCAAAGTCAGTATCTTCTCCTCCGTTTTTCTATTTAACATCAGGAGGATTCCATATACATGAATATATGAAAGGTTTGAGTATGTATAAAATGATACAATTGTAACTAAAAGACTGGTTATGCTTCTCTCTTTTAATCATGCACATGCTCTTTGGCTTGAATTCACTAATTGCAAAAGTGTCTTTTATAGTGGCATGGTTAATTGTGGAACTTCTACACAAAGCAAGCTCACTCAGGATTTCTGAAACTGTATATGTTATTGATCAATGCTTCTTTTTCCTTTGCCCTTTTCTTTTTTTCTTTTTTTTTTTATTTTTTTTTTGAGGAGAAAGTTTGTTCTTAACTTTTTCCATGACCTTGGTCCGAGGTAGGATCTGGAAATTCAAGCTACCGGGCACTCGGATAATCAGATGACCTGCAATTTTTCTGGTCTTCTTGTTTGTAAAGTTGAATCAGGGTTGTTGAAAAACCTATTGTTTGTGAATGTACATCATTCTCCACACATACCCCACCCACCCACACGCACGCACGCACAAGCATTGAGAAATTTCTTTGAATGAACATTACCTGAGGAGTTGTTGATGATTGTAGGAGGAGTTGATGATTTTATTGTCAAATGCATGCATGATGCTCATTTTTATGTGTCAGCAGACTCGAAACTATAGGCAGCAAGCTAGTGCAAGTGTAAGTTTTTCATTCTTTAGGTTTGTTACCCAATAAATTTTGGACATGGTAGGGTGTTCTTTTGTTTTGGCCATGAGATCTCTTTAACCATCATGAAACTTCAAGAGTAAACATTAGCCAACTTAGAGAATATGAAATTTTGTAGGAATAATTGGTAATGAATTTGACTTCAAATAATGGCGAATGCATTAGTTGCGTGATCTCGACCAATAAGATGTTCAAGTCAAGTTTGATATCATCCTCACTGCACACAGAGACCTATTTGATATTCAGTGGTGACAATTGCCCATACTGAATTATTGATTTTTTAAGTATTTTATGTCTCTCTCTCTCTCTATATATATATATATATATTTTTTTTTTTCTTCAATAATTTTCTAATCGGTCCTCGTCGTCACATTACTAGATCGATAGCTAGCAATATTAAAAATTCTTCAAATCATGGAAACTTGCAATAAATTAATACAGTAATAAAACTCACCTAAAAATCCCTTCCCTCTCTCCCCCAAAAAGGCGGGAAAATAAAAAAAAATAAAAAATCAAGGCATGAATCATGAATGACACGGAATGTTTAGCATAATGTATTTTAGAAAACAATTTAAATAGCCCTTTCCGATGAAAGTTCCCTCCTCAGACACGCCAAATAGCTGTATTTTTCCATGACCGATCGCCTATTCTGTGGAATTCTACAATTGTGTGCGTGTGTGAGAGAGAGATGCTTTTGATCGCTAACAATGGTTGCAACCGAGAAAGAGGGAGCTTGGCTTTTGAAAATTGAAATATCATAATAAAGACGAATTATGATGTTTTTATTGAAATGCCGAAGTTTTCTCATCTAAAAATTTCGTCCCTCGAACAAGAAAGGTATATGCTATGCATTGTATACACAGACATATATATATATATAGGGTTTCTGCTATATATCTCTGCTGTTGAAACTGTAGGCAAACGATCACTTTGGCATGAGGAAGGCGCAAGGGACATCGAATTGGCGCAAAAAATTGCACTTTGCCCCGTCAAATCGACTGCTCATTGTGCTATTCTCTCTGTTTATGCATATGCGTGTGCGTGTGGATACAGTATGTTATTTTAGTCTTGTTATACGTATCTACATGTTTGTAAGATTGCCCATAAATCAATACTTATGATGCCTAGAATCAAGAACCAACATACAATTAAAGGTAGCTGAATAATAATTTGTTCATAGATATGGGTGCCGAGTCTTCGGATCCTCTGCTGTAGAAGCCCCTTGCTGGATCGTTTTTCAAAACACTTAAATCTATTTTCAACACATTTATTCTACATTTCAACTTGGTTGAAAAACGAAATAATGTGCTGAAATACTAAGCAACTGAAACACGAAGTAATATCCATTTTCAACACAGTTACTTTGCGTTTCAACACAACATTCCGTGGGTTAAAGATATGTTAAAACGTAGAATAAATGTGTTGAAAATGAATTTAAGTGCATTGAAAAACGCTACAGCATGCTACAACAGCAATGCTCTACAAAAGAGGAACTATGGGTATTTCATGGCAATCAATGACTCAAAGTTTCTCTGGTGGGACTGTAACACTTGTCTACTTTTTTTATTATAAAAAGATAACTGATAAAAGCATTGTGTGCATGAATCTGAACTCAGTCATTTGACAAAATGAACTGGTATAAGTGGATGCGTGTGGTGGGGGCTTTTAGATGTATTATTTTTGGCTGAAGCTCTGGAGCCGGTAAAATCTTGAATAAACTCCCTCAGATGCCGCTATGAGGGTTGAGTGAGTTCCAGTTTCCACGATCTTTCCTTTATCCATGACAACAATAGTATCCGAGCTTATAACAGTGGAAAGCCTGTGTGCAACAGTTATCCGCGTGACACCACAGTCAATCGACGTTATTGATTCCAGAGAACTCGTTATGGCTCTTTCAGACTCTGCATCAAGGGCACTTGTTGCTTCATCTAAGAGTATAATTGCGGGCCTCTTTAGTAGAGTCCTAGCTATGGCTATTCTCTGCTTTTGTCCTCCGGAAAGTTGGCATCCCTTTTCCCCAACCACTGTATCATATCCATTTGGCAAATTGCTTATGAACTCGAGTATGTTTGCTTCCCTGGACACCTCCACAATTTCAGCTTCAGAAGCATTGTCATTCCCATAGCAGATGTTCTTTCTAATTGAGCAACTAAAAAGAAGTGGCTCTTGTTGCACAAATCCTATTTGCATCCTTAATTTCCTAAGGTTGTATTTTCTTATATCCTTGTTGTCGATCAATACATTTCCTTCTCTAGGATCATAGAATCTAAGCAAAAGAGCCAGAACTGAGGACTTTCCAGCTCCACTTGGCCCAACAAGTGCAACCTTTGATCCAGCTTCAATTGTCAAACTAAAGTTGTCTAGAATAGTCACTTCTGGTCTTAATGGGTAATTAAAATGGACATTTTCAAATTTGATGCCCCCTTTGATCCTCTCTGGATTTGAATTCTCTGGTTCATCTGGCTCAATAGCTGTTTGTCGGTCAAGGGTTTCGAATGTAGGAGTTAGTACACTGATGGCAGAGAGGACAGTGGGAATCAGTGTCCATAACTCTGTTATTGAGGGTACTGTAAGGGAGAAAATCTGATATGACCTTATTCCATCCTTAAAGCTGGCTTGACCTTTATCAACCAGAACTGTTGTATACCACAAAGCAACGGCATGTGCAATGTTCCATAAGCAAAGGGATACACCTTGAATAATCCCATACTTGACACTCTTTGTCCTGCTCTGCCTCATTGGCTTTTCCAGAGACAATGCAGCTTTCTCAAGTATTTGCTCTTCATGACAAAAGGAGGCAATGGTTTTTATGTTGGTTGTGGATTCAGAAGCAAGGGCGATAAGTTCTGAATGTGCAGCAGCACTGTCACCTGCAAATCCTTTGGCAGATTTGGCTTGAATCAGGCCACCAATGAAGTGGCAAGGCATCACAGCCCATGCTACGAGACCCATTCTCCAGTTTACATATATGCTAACGATTGTTGCAATCAGTATGGAGGATATGCATTGGACAATAACGGACATACGATCAGCAATTATGGTTTTGACCATGGAGGTGTCGTTGACGATCCTTGAGGTAAGTGAACCGACACTGTTCTCAGGTTTCTCAAACCAAGCTAATTCATTACGCAGTACAGCTGCAAGATATTAGTGTCATGAGTGTTGATGTGAACTTTTGTAGTTCTGATGAGAGTTGATGCATGAGTCAGAAAAGTTTTTGATTGAGTAGATGATGCAGGAATCAGAATGAGTAGGATACCTGAATACAGTGCTTGTCTAAGGTTATTCATGGCCTTCTCTCCAACCACTCCAAAGAAATAATGCTGCAAGGTGTGGCTGAACAGTGAAAGCAGTCCTATTGAGGAAAAGATTATTGAATAGTGTCCAACTTTCGTCTGCGAATCATCCTGGTAATATGTTACTCCTATTGTTATGATGAAGAATCCAAAAAAAGGCTTCGAGATACCAGAAAAGGCTGCTGCAAAAGATCCAGCAGCAGTCTTTACAAGCTCACTTTTCTTCAAGCCAAACCAGATTCTGAAGAATATATTTTTTTTTCTTCTCTCGCTCTTCTCCTCTTGTTTGGGAAGATCTGTGAGATCTCTGTTGAGATTTGATGGTTCTTCAGGTTTCTCTAGGCATTGAGGTGAGACCTGTTGTTGGCATTCAGGATCTTCAGTAGTATCTGCAACCCTAGTTTTTGTTCACTTAAATTAGTCAAAACATTTTGTTTTCCTTTTACTGATACCATGTGTGATTAAGGCAAAGTTTTAGTTTGCAACAAACCTGGAATGATCTACTTGGTCAATATTCTGCATGCTAAATAAGTTGTTGTAGAATTTACTGGTATTTAACAAGTCACGATGTCTTCCTGTATCTGTAACTTGTCCATTCTCTACAACTGCAATCACATCTGCATTAATAACAGTTGACATCCGGTGTGCAATTAAGATGACTGTCCTATCTTGCATTGCTGTCTCTAGGGCATTTTGAACTAGCTTCTCTGAGTCTGAATCAAGTGCACTGGTGGCCTCATCAAGCAAAAGTATCGGAGGGTTCTTTAGAATGGCTCTTGCTATTGCAATTCTCTGTTTCTGTCCACCTGATAGTTGGACGCCCCTTTCTCCTACCTGGAATCCATTACAACAAGATAGCTCATTCAAAAATAATAATTTTCAATTGGAAAAATATGCTGCTACGGTATATACTTATCAGATTGTACTCCAAATATTATGCTCACAGTCACAGCATTGGTGATCTGAATCAAACAAAGCATATCGTTCCATTGGAGTAAGTTTTGACTATTTGTGCTACTTTCTTTTTTCTTTTTTATTCTTTCTGTCTTTGGCGCATCTTTACTTTTTTGTATGACTAATTTCAAATGTATTTTCTATGGATGCATCATCGGGATAAGTTGCTTTAACTGAAGTTACTGAGCACTATTCTTAGTTACAGTTGACAGTAAAGGTTGAAGAATCCCAGTAAAGGTTGAAGAATCCTTTCTATTTTTTTGTTTGTTTAATTCATGTCTGCATGGTTAGCTGGCTGGGAAAGTGATACCCCAAATATGGTGGACTTCAGCCATGGTCTACATAAGTAAATTTCTCTTCACTTCTCAAATTTTTTTTTTTCTTCTTTTTCTATATTCTGTTCCTTTCCTCTGCTTGCAATTTAACCTCTCTCCTGGTATTCAAGCCACAATTTTTTCAGGAAACTTCCTAAAAATCTGTTGTTATTGGGATTTCCAACTTCACATAAAATTTTAAAAAGAAAAGATAGATCAGGAGAAGATACAAATCTGAAACTAATGTCGGTTTGAGATTTAAATCAAATAATTTATAAAGCACATTTGTTTTCATTTAGTTATTTTATCAATGTAAGTTATATGGATTGGTGGTAGTGTATGAGTTACAGTTTGAAGTTAAACGGATTGGTGGTAGTGTATGAGTTACAGTTTGCTAGTTTAATGGAAGTGAACATTTGAAAAAAGGAAATAACCTGTAGGAAGCAACTTCCTTGTCTAGATTAACAATGGAAAGATAAAATTTTAATCCCAAAGCCTCAAACATTTTGCTCCAAATTGTAAATTGTTCTCTTTCTTCAAGAATTCTAGGTTTTTCTAGTTTTAGTTTTGTTTTTCTCCTCCACTGCTTATCTTCTAATTTATGTTTTGCAGGTGAAAGTTGGTCTTGATTCTGTTGATGGACTTCTAATGTTGGTGCTATCTAGCGTTTGTTCTTACAAATAATAACCGAACCCAATGGGCAAGATTCTAACTAGTGGTTGGGTGATGCTGTAGTTCTTTGCGAGTGGGGAGGTGGGTGACTGAGGAAATAAGTATCTTACCTCTGTTAAGTACTGATTTGGAAGTTGGGATATGAAATCGTGTGCATTTGCCTTGAGTACTGCATCATGGATCTCTTGATCATCTGCACATATGTTTCCTACCTTCATGTTATCCTTGATGGTGCCAGCAAAAAGTGATGGTTCCTGAGAAACTGCTCCTATATTTTTCCTGAGGAATTTCAAATCAAGATCCTTAATATTGTGGCCGTCGATGAGAATCTCACCTGACAGGTTGAACACTTCGTTAGTCTTTTGCAGAATTCCTGAAATACTCATTTCCATGTACCTGTTTTAGACAAATATTTGTATGTGCATGCATGCATCCATGTTCATATATGACATTTGTGCAAATGTATGCTTATGTGCTTAATGTGTCAGGAATGTACAGGCATATATGAATGTGATTCATTTGCATAATATGCTAAAAATCTTTAGACAGCTAGGGATGGACTGTGAACCTTTTGAGGGATCATAAAATCTTGCCACTAGGGAGATAACAGTGCTCTTCCCACACCCACTACTACCCACTAAAGCCACTACCTTTCCTGCTGGGATCGACAATGAAAACCCTTGAAGGATCAAGTTCTCCTGCCGGGATGGGTAAGCGAAGTATACATCACGAATGTCAATGTCACCCTGAATCACCTCAAAAGTTTTCCCTTTCGAGTCGTAACTTATTATGGGATTTCTTTTGATCACTTGAAAAACTTCCTTTCCTGCAGCCTTTGCCTGATTGAAGATTTGCATGTCTGGTGCAGCATGAGTGAGTGATCTGGGGAAAAAAAGAAGCTCATTTTAATGTCTGAATGAATTTTGCTTCACTTTGGTTAGAAAGAGTTTGTTGAGAATTTTTTTTTTTTTTTGTTTCCCTTACATAGCTCCAAAGAGAATGCTCATCACTGCAGCTATGACATCTCCTCCACTTGATCTCTTGGCTTTGACAACAATAGCTCCAATCCATACTATTAGAGCCCAAGAACAGAAGGTCACGGTCTGGAACATACCCGTTCCAACGCCCTTTATCAATGCTTCTCCTTTGCTTATCGCTAATTGTCTCTCCATGCACTCTGAGAAAGACTTAGTTGCAGAACCCTCTCCGGCAAACGCAAAAACTGTCTTTATTTGAGACACTGTCTGTATACAAAATTCAGAGACCATAGTATCAAAACTTGAATAACTGTTCATAGATTAGACCTACAAGTTCAAGGTGTGATATGTGTCTGTAGTATTGCTAACTTGTTACCTGTTCTACCATTGATGTAGCTTTTGACAGGTAAATGATCTTAGCAGCTGAAATTGTGTTCATTTTCTTTGTATAAGTAGCTCCAATTACAAGAATAATAGGAACAACCACCAATGCAAGCAGTGACACTTCCCAACTACATATGAAAGCTATCAAGACTCCAGAAAAGAAGGTTGCCAAGTTTGACAGAAAATGGCCCAACTGTCAATGAGCAAGTCCATTAGAATATATCATAGTGAGTGCGAAAACTGAAAACATACCATATAATTAAAGCTACCTCTACTTTAATTTGAAAGTGTCAATGTTTTGAATATTTATGTTCCAAATACAGATTTTCAAGCAAGTTACATTGACTTTGTCATTGATGCTTGAACTTAAGCTCTTTGATGTTGGACCAAGCAAAGAAATGGGGCTCTCCATAGTTGAAAGTAATACCTACTTGGTGTTCACTATAAGTGTGCATACCATATGCGTGTGCAAATTACATATCTATAAATATATATGTGTACATATGATACATGTGGGAGTATGTCCAAGAGTAGTTTAAAAAAATGAATTGGTATTGTAGGGAACCTGATATAAAATTATATATTTTTTTTCACTTGTTTTCTGCCTAATTTGATTCGTTACATACGATTTGGATATTGTCATTCGATCTCCACTCAGAGTTTGTTGTAGTTTTTGCATGTACTATAATTCTGGCCAAGTGGACTTCAAGCATCAAAAATTGGAGCAATGTTTATGCAGCCTTGGACCAATTTTGGTTATCTATGCCAGGTATGCCGTGTAATTTCCTAAACAATCTATAGTCAGCGTTGTTTGTGTGGTTCATGCCAACATAACCTGCGATAATACATATCATGATATGGAATTTGTAAACATTTCTATTGATTACTTGTATATATATAAGAAAGGGTATATTGTTTCCTTTCAATAATCGATACATATCATGATATGGAATTTGTAAACATTTCTATTGATTACTTGTATATATATAAGAAAGGGTATATTGTTTCCTTTCAATAATCGATAGATTTGATAAATTATTTGCCAGTTGTTGGAGGTTGAAATGGTATTATCTTGTTTATAGATTCTTCACTCCATTGGGACATTTGTCAAAACTCAAAAGTTATAAGTTTGGTAATATGTATTCCCTTTGCAGCTTCATGAATAGAATCAATACCCTAAGCAACGAAGATAAAATATACACTTTTTCCTATGAAATTCCCGAATAATGAGAAATTTTGATAATTTTTCTTTTCATAGTTGATACTCACACACACGTCTCCATGGAGGCTTAAACCCTTGACCTCCCTCTGGGAAATTAGAGCCTGATACCACTAGGCCACTGGTGAGAAATTTTGATAATTATCATGCTATGTTGTAAAGGTGGCTCTTAGCATTGGAAAGTTAGGAGAGATGAATTTTTAATAGACAAATGAACATTATAGTTGCTTTTAAACAGCTAGTTTTGTTGTCCTACTAATAGAACCTCTTATACAATCATAACTAACTGAAAACTATACAGTGATAAAGTTACAAGTAGAAACCTCGCACCTTCTCTCCGATCGCATCTTGTATGATGTTCATGTGTGTGCTTATGCCACTGATGATTTTCCCGCTTGTCAAGTCCGTATCGAAAGCCCCGATCTCTTGTCTTAGCACTGCTTTTAGGAATGCTAATCTTAAACGTGCTACTTGCCTTTCACTTGCATACATCCAGCATCCAATCTCTGCATGTTTGAAAGCGAGGATGAGTCATGAATGAGCACCTTTACTTTTTTGCAACCAAAATATTATGAGAAACTTTTTTACTTTGTGCAGATGTATTAAATTTTCCATGTTATACTATAATCTTTGCTATATGTCACTAGACACTAGCACCATGTTTTCATTCTGTTTTTGCTTCTGGTGCTAGTGCATAAGCTACATACAGTTGGATGGTAGATTGAGCTGGTAAGTTGGGTATCTAAATATATTTGAATATAATAAATAGTCCAACTCTCCATAAATAAATGAGTTAATAATCTACTAAAACCACTCTGTTTGAGAGGGTGGGCTTGGCGCAACGGTAAGATTGCTCCATTGTGACCTAGGTCACAAGTTCGAAATCGAAAACTGTCTCTCCATGTGGAGACAAGACTGATGAGAGTCTCGTACATTGGACCAACCCTTTTAGTTTTGATGGTAGATGTTAATGATCCTATTATCTAACAACTTACATTTCTTTTAAAAATAATATCAATTGTAATTACATACTAGTATTTATTTTATGGAAATATATTACTATTTAGTTTAGTGAGATTATTGTTCCTAACTTGCAACTAGTAACTACTATTAGAATTACTAACTATTGTCAGTATAATACTTTTTTTTTATTATTTTTATAATTACTAACTACTATATTTTTATTCATTTATTTGAGAATCCCTACAGTCCGTGTAACAGGACTAGATTATTGAGATTAATTCTTTTGGTCTAAAAGTTCAAAAAAAAATTTAGAACATCCATTTGCAAATATGCAGACGAATAATAAAGCAACCTAGTACTCCAGCAGGAAATGTGGCAATGGCCATGTACCATACATATGGAACAACCTGAAGAGCAAAAACAATCTCATTAATTACCAAGTGTTGCATCAATATAACAACACTCACACTCGTTGATTTTGTACAGAGAGTCGGAGACCGGAGGTGTACCTTGTAGAGAGCTGCAACCATGGCATCAGTGTCATTGATGTTGGCACCAAATGCATTGAGGGCTTTGCCAAGCAGTAGATAACCAATGGGTTGTGCCAAGCCGTGGACGATAGACCCCAGCGTCCCCAGAGCCATCAAAGTCCAGTCCAATGCATCTGCGTAGCTCAAAAGCTTACTAAACGGCAAAGTTTGGGTAAGTACTGCTTCCTTCTTCATGTCTTCTGTTTCACCTCTCATCTCATCTTTGATCTGCATGGTTTCTGACTGTTTCGGAGCCATTTGCACACGCCTACGTGTTTATACAACCCTTAGTTAGTTGGACGTACGCATGTATACACATATATATATATTTATGAAAACAATGTCCAACAAAGGAATATATGTAGGATATGCCATGACACTGAAAAGGAGAAAGAGGCAGGTATGGCGTAAGTGTTTGATTTATCTTTGGTTGAATCGCTTGTGTCTGTGCTAGCCGTCAATCACTAAAAAGACATGTAGAAAGAACAAAGGATAGACATTATTAGTTCAGTTGTTCTAGTTAAGAACTATAAATTGCAAACGTTTCTTGATCATCTAATTATATTTGCATATTCCTTTTGCCACTTCCATTAGGATATTCCTTAGAATATACAGTATACAATCTGACAAAGTTTTACAGCAGTGTTTATGAAATGGTGGAATCAAAGTGATTTGACTCCTTCCTCGGATGCAGCCTTCATGGGACCTTTTTAGGATTATCCGGCACACGAGTTATAGAGGATGATTGAAAAATAAGACACGATTACAATAAGAACATGACAATATATATATGTATATATATTGTTGTTCATATTTCTTTATAAAATATTATTAGAAACAAAAGTAGGATTGAGAGTTATATTACATGAATAAATTGTCTAAATTAATCACGATATGTATATCATGGTATAATATGAAAATATTGAATATATGGTTGAAGTATATGAAAAGTATCGGATATGTGTACTAATCTAACACGTTACAGATACATTACCCTTATAGAAGCATACTTGGTTCATTATATGAAAAAGTATTGGATACGTGTATTCATGGGCGATATAATTTGAGGCCTTATGCAAAAAAAAAAAAAAAATTAGCCTGTTAATATGTAATATATTGACATTAAATAGCAATTAATTATATTTACTTAAAAATCATTTTTCTTGCTTTTTGTGATGCAAAAGTTACTAATTAGATTCTTGTGTTAAGTTTTGCTAAAGTTTTTTTTTTTTTTTTTTTCAATAAATAATATAACCAGTCAAATAGATATATATACACTTTTGAAGGGGCAGAAAATCTCACTGGGCTGGATGCAGCCCAGCCCACCATCTCGAGAGAGTGTCCAGAAAGATTACCAAATCTGGCCATGTCCATATTGGATCTGATGCTAAAATGGGACAGCCCAAGAGGAGGATTAGGCCCATTTTCTATTCCCAACTTAGAATTTTAAAAAGGGAATAATGGTACGGATCAACGAAGTCGAGAGATGTTTGGGCCTGTTGGACTACCATTCCGAACCCAATTAAAATAGGCTCAAACCACGGGGGCCAAAATATAGGAATAGGGTAAAATGTAAGAGAATGAGAAGCAGATTGACTCTTTGAAGTGTGAAAAAATACTTTCATAATACAAAGAGCCATTTCTTGCATCTTCAATACTCAATAGTAATTAATATAACTGGTGTAATGATACAAGTGCGTGTTGCACAAGTGATTGTGTTACTTCTCACGTCTTGGAGTTCGTATTTGAGCCTTGCACCTTCCCCCTCCCTTCTAACAACTAAATCCTAACACTCTTGCCATTAAAAATAAAAAAAAAAGGAAGCTGGTTAGGGTAGAAAATAAAAATTTTATGACCAACTGCCTTAGTAGCCTAAGGCTCTTGTGCCTTGCGTGTATTCAATTTAGATATGCTACTCTTTTATTTATTTATTTATTTGTCAAAAACAACTGCCTTAGTCACCTAAAGCTCTGTATATTCAATTTAGATACATCACTCTTATTTTATTTTATTTTTAAAAAAATGTGTTTCATAGATTATATGATAGAGAACATACTTTCTATTTTATTTCCTGATTATCTGAAATAAATTAGATCGGGGGCCAAGCTTCTCTCACACATCTAGAGGTATGGTTTCTATCTAATTTTAGTGAGCTATATTAGGTGTAAATTTTAAGCTCCTATTATCTCTAAAAAAATTCGTTCAGGATGAATGATCTTAACACAAATAAATATGTTAATTTTATTTTTGTCCCAAATCTAATTGATCGAAATTATATAATGGCACACTATATAATAATTTCTCATTACCACATCTGTCTCAAAACATATTAAATATTTGATTTGTCAGGGAAACAATAGTACTCAAATTTGCAGAAGTGGGTCTAGTCCCAATAAATATGTGGACATGGAATGGTGTGACATCTATCAGAGGCATTGCCTTGCGTGTATTCAATTTAGATATGCTACTCTTTTATTTATTTATTTATTTGTCAAAAACAACTGCCTTAGTCACCTAAAGCTCTGTATATTCAATTTAGATACATCACTCTTATTTTATTTTATTTTTAAAAAAATGTGTTTCAGAGATTATATGATAGAGAACATACTTTCTATTTTATTTCCTGATTATCTGAAATAAATTAGATCGGGGGCCAAGCTTCTCTCACACATCTAGAGGCATGGTTTTTATCTAATTTTAGTGAACTATATTAGGTGTAAATTTTAAGCTCCTATTATCTCTAAAAAATTTCGTTCAGGATGAATGATCTTAACACAAATAAATATGTTAATTTATAATAATTTCTCATTACCACCTCCGTCTCAAAACATATTAAATATTTGATTTGTCAGGGAAACAATAGTACTCAAATTTGCAGAAGTGGGTCTAGTCCCAATAAATATGTGGACATGGAATGGTGTGACATCTATCAGAGGCATTGCCTTGCGTGTATTCAATTTAGATATGCTACTCTTTTATTCATTTATTTATTTGTCAAAAACAACTGCCTTAGTCACCTAAAGCTCTGTATATTCAATTTAGATACATCACTCTTATTTTATTTTATTTTTAAAAAAATGTGTTTCATAGATTATATGATAGAGAACATACTTTCTATTTTATTTCCTGATTATCTGAAATAAATTAGATCGGGGGCCAAGCTTCTCTCACACATCTAGAGGCATGGTTTCTATGTAATTTTAGTGAGCTATATTAGGTGTAAATTTTAAGCTCCTATTATCTCTAAAAAATTTCGTTCAGGATGAATGATCTTAACACAAATAAATATGTTAATTTTATTTTTGTCCCAAATCTAATTGATCAAAATTATATAATGGCACACTGTATAATAATTTCTCATTACCACCTCTGTCTCAAAACATATTAAATATTTGATTTGTCAGGGAAACAATAGTACTCAAATTTGCAGAAGTGGGTCTAGTCCTAATAAATATGTGGACATGGAATGGTGTGACATCTATCAGAGGCATTGCCTTGCGTGTATTCAATTTAGATATGCTACTCTTTTATTTATTTATTTATTTGTCAAAAACAACTGCCTTAGTCACCTAAAGCTCTATATATTCAATTTAGATACATCACTCTTATTTTATTTTATTTTTAAAAAAATGTGTTTCATAGATTATATGATAGAGAACATACTTTCTATTTTATTTCCTGATTATCTGAAATAAATTAGACCGGGGGCCAAGCTTCTCTCACGCATCTAGAGATATGGTTTCTATCTAATTTTAGTGAGCTATATTAGGTGTAAATTTTAAGCTCGTATTATCTCTAAAAAATTTCGTTCAGGATGAATGATCTTAACACAAATAAATATGTTAATTTTATTTTTGTCCCAAATCTAATTGATCGAAATTATATAATGGCACACTATATAATAATTTCTCATTACCACATCTGTCTCAAAACATATTAAATATTTGATTTGTCAGGGAAACAATAGTACTCAAATTTGCAGAAGTGGGTCTAGTCCCAATAAATATGTGGACATGGAATGGTGTGACATCTATCAGAGGCATTGCCTTGCGTGTATTCAATTTAGATATGCTACTCTTTTATTTATTTGTCAAAAACAACTGCCTTAGTCACCTAAAGCTCTGTATATTCAATTTAGATACATCACTCTTATTTTATTTTATTTTTAAAAAAATGTGTTTCAGAGATTATATGATAGAGAACATACTTTCTATTTTATTTCCTGATTATCTGAAATAAATTAGATCGGGGGCCAAGCTTCTCTCACACATCTAGAGGCATGGTTTTTATCTAATTTTAGTGAGCTATATTAGGTGTAAATTTTAAGCTCCTATTATCTCTAAAAAATTTCGTTCAGGATGAATGATCTTAACACAAATAAATATGTTAATTTATAATAATTTCTCATTACCACCTCCGTCTCAAAACATATTAAATATTTGATTTGTCAGGGAAACAATAGTACTCAAATTTGCAGAAGTGGGTCTAGTCCCAATAAATATGTGGACATGGAATGGTGTGACATCTATCAGAGGCATTGCCTTGCGTGTATTCAATTTAGATATGCTACTCTTTTATTTATTTATTTATTTGTCAAAAACAACTGCCTTAGTCACCTAAAGCTCTGTATATTCAATTTAGATACATCACTCTTATTTTATTTTATTTTTAAAAAAATGTGTTTCATAGATTATATGATAGAGAACATACTTTCTATTTTATTTCCTGATTATCTGAAATAAATTAGATCGGGGGCCAAGCTTCTCTCACACATCTAGAGGCATGGTTTCTATGTAATTTTAGTGAGCTATATTAGGTGTAAATTTTAAGCTCCTATTATCTCTAAAAAATTTCGTTCAGGATGAATGATCTTAACACAAATAAATATGTTAATTTTATTTTTGTCCCAAATCTAATTGATCAAAATTATATAATGGCACACTGTATAATAATTTCTCATTACCACCTCTGTCTCAAAACATATTAAATATTTGATTTGTCAGGGAAACAATAGTACTCAAATTTGCAGAAGTGGGTCTAGTCCTAATAAATATGTGGACATGGAATGGTGTGACATCTATCAGAGGCATTGCCTTGCGTGTATTCAATTTAGATATGCTACTCTTTTATTTATTTATTTATTTGTCAAAAACAACTGCCTTAGTCACCTAAATGTCACGCCCCGCCTATGGAGGTTGTGCCATGTAGGCGACACGCAGACGCTGAGGAGGACGCTGCATGGCAACTGCATGGCAAGT